TATCTAATTTACTTAATAAGATTTTGGTGCATGTTCTACTATATTTTGTTAGTTTTAATTATTTAAGTATATTAAATTACACAAGTACTAATTTCTATGCACTATAGACTTTTTTTCATAGTCAATTAAATCGCAACCATGCAAATTTAGTATAATCAGTTTTATTTGTTTCACAATTATCTCGTTATAATAGTAAATATTTTACTTTTATTTGCATAATTTTAACCTCTTGCATATTTATTACTTTAGATTAAAATTTTGAATATATAAAAATCTAGAATGATTTTCGTAACAATAGAATAATTACAATAATCTATTTTAGTTTAATTTACTTTTATGGTAATCAATTGTTTTTAAGTGGATTAATTATTTTGCATATTCCAAATATAATAATATAAAGTCTAAAAGTATAATAGATTGATAAAGTTAATCTATTTAAAGTAATCGAATTATATTGCATTGTTTAAGCTAATCCAAAATTATTTTAAAGAAATCTGAAATGATTTTTTAATTAATCGAAATAATTCGCATTGTTTAAGCTAACCCAATTTATTTTAAAACTATCAAAAAAAGGAATTTAATTTAATCGGATTGATTCGCATTGTTTAAGCTAATCCAAATTTATTTTTGAATTGATCATTTTTTAAATCGGATTAATTCGTATTGTTTAGACTAAACCTGATTAATTTTGATCTATCAGAGAGTTATTAAAATATTTAATAAAGTCTGACGGCATTTAAAATTGCAATAAATTGATATATACAAATGTATTTAATTTTATAAATTTGATTTAATTAAATAAAGAAATTACTTTGAATTAATTTCAATTCTTTGAATTTCTAATAACAAAAATAATAATAATAAAACTGATTATTTTAGTAAAATATATACGTTTAAAAATAATCAAAGTTAATAATTTTAATAACAACTTGCTACATTGCGAGATAATGCGATTAAATTAGAATAATTTCGAAAAGCTTTAAATAAACCCACTTCAGCTGTCTTCTTCTTCGTAGTTTTCCAATCAATCTCATATTCGTTACACTTATCTTACTTAGTTCACTTTTTCTCTCGTTAATTCCAATTTTTCTGCATTTACCTTATCTGTGATTTATTTCATTTTTTTGCTTTCGCTTTTCTACAAGCTTTCATTATCTTTTTTGTATCATTCTATCATTTTCTCATACATTATCAATTATTTCATACTATTTCGGATTTATTTTATTTTATTTTATATTTTCTTTCTTTCGCTTTTTCCTTTATTTTACTTTTTTTTATTTTTAATTATATTATTACTTATACAAATAGCCCAAAATAAATTTAAAGCTAAATTTCATTCAACTCGTAATGCCAACAAGTGTGCACTGTTCGCTGGAAAGTTCCCTGGTCAACAAGCATCTACCTCTGTTACTCAGAGGGTGATTCCACAATATATCGATCCAGTTGAAACTGTTTTGCAACAATCTTCTATACCTTCCAATGGTTAATTTTAAAAAATATAATTTGTTTTTTTTTTTTTATTTATTTTATTAATCTATATTACATATTAAATAATTTAAGATCAAGTTATCTTGGCTTCTATTAATGATGTGCTCCTCAATTTAACTGAAGAAATTGCAAGATTAAATTGAAAAGTTTCGGATTTAGATCGATGAGTGTCGGAAAGACTTAGAATAAAAAATGAAGAAAGCTTCATTAAAGTAATTATTTTTTAATATTAATGTTTTATTTAATTTAATTTAATCTAATAAAATTTTACTTTTAGCAAACAAGTTTAGCAATAGCCAAAAGATTAATCATTACAAATATTTATCCAACCTTAGATAAATTAAAAGCGGCTGCAAAGAAATACCTTGTAAAATTTAAGCATACTTTTTATAAAAGCATGGAAAATAAAGATTGGAATATATATTATAAAGAATTTCTAGCTAGTCCTGTAAATTTTTTAATTTATTTGAAATGATTCGCATCTAGTCTGCAATTTAGTTGAATTTGATTCAATCTAGTTTTATTTCAAATTTAATTTAATTTATTTTTTATTTATTTTCTAATTTCGAACTAATTCACATTAATATTTTTAATTTAAAATTAATTTATTTTGTATTAGCTTCTAGCTGCTCATCGCTCATGTCATAGCAGGATTGCGACTAAAATTAAAGATTCCATTTTTTCTGTATTCGGACAAGCCCAATTAGATAGAATAAAATCAAATTCTACACCTAGAGTAATTTCAGATTGGAAGGATTTGGATAAGACATATTGTCGCATAGTTGCAGAACAGCCCTTGTACTTGGTTCGGGGCATGTTAGCAGAGGAAGAGGTTAGTGAGCCGAAG